ATAAACTAAATACTGTCACTCAATAGGTGTGCCGAGCATTGAAATAGCTCTTCGATTGCCACCTTTATCCCGAATCTGCACGCGGAATTTGCACACGGTCATTATCGGGGACAGATGAATGTGATAATAGGGCACACTGCTTACATTTCCCGATGCTCCTCTGAGCTGCTGATGCATTGGCTACTTAATGAAGCTGGACAATTATTGACTAAACTGATTTACTCAACTCAAACAATTGTCATGGCATAATACATATGATCCATATGAATACAATTACAGTATACTGTATACTATCAGATTCAAATAAGGACATTGTCTTTGGGTCTTTCGGTAAAGACACGTCGATAGGTTCAAAGAAAATAACAAAAAATAACAAAAAATAACAAAAAAACTACGACGTTTCGATCGCAACACAAGCGATGATGACTGCTCGTGTTGCGATCGAAACGTATCTACAGTACGTGACTTTACCGGAAGACCCAAATAATATAAATTCCTGCAGTCACGAAAGTTTTAAGTCAAGATTTAATAAAAACATTGTGACAATTTGCGATTATTGCTGCTACCAAACGTTTCAATTACGATATTAATTGTGTGTGGGCGATTCCACAATGAAATTAAATTAGTTTTAGACGTGGTGACAGCATTGAGAACATTATGCATCACGTAGACTTGCTATATAAGAACACCGAGAGCCCGTTTCTCTGCAACAGAAAATAGGAGACAGCTGTCACTGTTATGTCTTTCTTACAATCCCGTATTCAGAGTACTCTCAGTACAAAATTGTAGTTAATAAAATACCAATATAATATGTATTGTCAGGTTTCTTTTTTTAATATATATATTCAAGAATAGTCTGCCAAAACAATTACATTTAGAGGAGCACAGAATGAAAAGCTCGAGCAATTGCAAGTGAACCATGTTAGCCTTCATTATTCGTTACGCCCATCTCTTAGGTGTCGCTATCGTCTTTCGAACGTATTCCGCCGTTTCAATTACATTTCAATTTGGCACACGGAAAATCCCGTTTAGCCAGTTATGCGGCTAGTTTTAATGGCAACGGGTCCGCAGCTAGTAACGATCGAGCCAGCTGAGAAATTCGAGGCATAGATTACACTGGTCAACAAAAAAAAAGCATTTTTTTCTGGCCTGGACTAATTTCAGGGTGCTGATTCCAAATCTGATCTCAGATTTGCTCTATCACATTTCATTTTATGCTATCGGCATACCCCATTTTCATTGATTTTACCCGAAATTAACTCTGTCACTTATGATTGCAAGTTGTTGCGAGTCAGTGACTGCTTTAGTCTTAAAATATGGTGCTGTATTTTTAGGATAGTGTGTTTATAATATCATTGTATGTAGATATCCACATTTATTTAATATTTTTCTTCTGCAGTTTTTATTGAAAATGCAATATTTCATATCTCAAAAACCTGACGTGATAGACAAAAACTGATGCCAGATTTGGAATCAGCACCTCAAAATTACCTTAAAACCGTTGGAATACCTTATGCCAGAAAAAGTGTGTTGACCAGTGTTAATTTTCATCGTAGTATATGATTTAAAATGAATGAAAGCCATGGGCTTCATTAAAAATCTGATAAAATCAGGTTCTGCCTCATGCTGTAATTCAAATCATCATGGAATTTGATCATGTGCACGTGTCTCTTGTCCAGATATTGTCATTTTCAATATGCATATGCAGTATTTTATATATGCACGTCTACATTTACGGGAGCATCGTGTCGGCGGAGTGCCCTGGCCAATAACATCTGGCAGCCCAACAGAATTTGTTGAACTGGCCACACTGCTTATGAGATGCAGAAGGTCAGAACCATTCTAGAGTTTGCTTATTTAAACATATGCTGCTGGATATTTGGTACTGTAAGCCAATAACTAAACAAGATTTTATTTTGCATTGGAGACACATACGAGTTATGTTTACATGCGATTTACTTCCACACATATTTTACTTCGGTCCTAAACAAACAACGCAATAATGTGCTTTGCAATGCTTTCATGACTGTTGAATCTTTGACCTTGATCTTGTGTAACGTCGTAAACTGTTCAAATCCCCCACCGCGACCCCAATGATCCTGGAAGCATTTTACCATTAACACATTAAAAAATACACGCGGGTGGGAGTGCTTACTTGGACGCAAAGGAGCATATTCCTGACATTTATAATTACGAATAAGTGACCTGCCTACAAGACTCTGTCCGCATGTCGGCGTGTTTTGACAGCTGAACGACCCCCCGGGGAAGATGCATCTACATTAAAATGAGAGTTTGGCTTAAATCATGCAGACCATGTATGGCGTTACCAACACATCACTGGGAAATAGTGGGGGGTTGGTAAACGTTCACAACTCTCGTTTCATACTAAAAATACCATGTGCCGACCGAACACTTGCATAAGAGTTCTGACGGCGTCGCCAGCATGGACTCCAACCCTTAAAAAAATCATTGAGCGGTTGTTAAGGTAAATGCTTGAGTGGTTAACGTTCCATTATTTTTAACGGTACTATAAACCATTGTAACGTGAACACTGCATTGTACTACGTATACTATATACTATGTATAATGCAGTACCAATAAGACATCCGTGTGAGAGCTACCACGCGCATTTGAAGCCATTGGGTTTGACAGCACGGTGGCGTGCGTCAGGGGCCGCACCAAATGCCACCAGATCCACAAGTGGCCCACGGGCCTTGCAAGGACACACACTGGTCCAGAGGTTCACTCACGGCTCCGACGTTTATCAGAACATTTCCAGACAGGTCTCGTCGGTTTTCCTGACAGTTCTGGGATTCCTCTTCAAGTGTAGTCGGGAACAACGCGTCCCGACCTCGTGTCAAGCTCCGTTCTCTCAAACCAACCTCGCTGGGTTTAGAACTTTACATTTCTGGGACAATTATCATTGATGATTATCAGCGACTGAGCAGTTGGACCGCCGCAGCTATAAACCTTCCGAAGTGACAACACGACGTGATGACATTCATTGTATGGTACTGCTCAACCAGAAGAAGACGGCTGCTTGCGTTGTAGCCGAAACGTCGTGAGAATTATTTTATTTTATTATGTTTTATTTTTATTATTTTATTACTTCCCTTCTACGTGACTTTACCGAAAGAACCAAGAAGACTGCTCAACCAGTTCACGATCAAATATCCGCCCAACATCTCCCGGATTGTTTTCACTCATCACCGGGGGAGATCGATGCCAATTACGGTAGACTTCCTGGCAACCCTACCCATCACACAACCCGCATCGGTCATCATGGTGAAATATGGTCAAACACCCCCCCCCCGCCCCCCAAACCTCCACCCCATGGCTGACTGAAACGGCGTGGGTAGGCCTGCAACCCAATGACTGTAAACATACATTTTTATATTAGGACAGCTGATAAAGAAACGCGTAGGAGTGAGTAGAGGGGGCATTGTTTAGTTGCTGTGCGTAGGGGCCCCGACTAGCGGCATCAGATCGGAGTGTTAGTCAGCGAGAAGGGAGCGCATTAGCTGCTGTGACAGGAGAGAGTTAAGAGAGTGGGCTAGGAGAGAGAGTGGAACATGAGAGTGAGATGGGAAAGTGGGGCAGGAGGGTGAGACGGCAGAGTACAGAGCGTGGAATAATAATGACGGTGATGCTTGTGGTAGTAAAAGTGTGTGTGTATATAGATACCGTGGGGAACGGTGTTGCAAGCACCAGTGACGATTATCTGAATCGGTCCTGGACCTCTCCGAGGACAACTCAAACTCAAATGAGTACCTGATGCGGTGTGTTAAACATTGTCACTGGGGAGACAAAGGCGACCGGGTGTGGTTTTGTCTACCCAACCCCTCGTGTGCCGTGCAGGCCTTCAAATGCGCCCACAAACAGCACTTGCCCCAATAGTCTGTTAAGGCTGCACGGGGGATCTTTGTCTTTGTACGCTTGTACCGGAGCGGTGGCGCAGCGGTTAGCGCGCTGCCCCACGAACTCACGGCCACCAACAACCAGTGACGATTGTGCGAACCGGTCCTGAACCATCCCCGAGGTTCAACTCGGTCTCGAACGAGTACCTGGCGTGGTGCTGGCCACCCTCTTGTGATCGGCGCACGAACAGCACCCGGCCCCAAGTTTTTGATCATCGGGGAATCTTTGTGATCGACAAAGATGAAGGCTTTGTTGTTGACAAAGATCCCCTGTATAGCCTTTGACAGAATGTTGGGGCAAGTGCTGTTAGCGAGGGGCACACGAGGGGGGGGGGGCGCACCACGCCCGACCGCCTTTGTCTCTCCCAGTGGCGATGTTTGTCACAACCGCACCAGGTACTCATTGGATGCTGAGTCGACCTAGGGGAGGCCCGATACTGGTTCAGATAATAATCGTCACTGGTGTTGGTGGCCATGAGCAGGAATTGAACTCGGGAAACGCAAGCGAGCACAAAGACAAAGAAGCCCCGTATAGCCTTTAACATACTTTTGGGGCAAGTGCTATTCGCGAGCACAAAGACAAAGAAGCCCCGTATAGCCTTTAACAGACTTTTGGGGCAAGTGCTATTCGCGAGCACAAATACAAACATGCCCCATATAGCCTGGGCAGACTGTTGGGGCAAGTGCTGTTAGCGAGCACAAAGACAAAGATCCCCCGTATAGCCTTTAACAGATTGTTGGGGCAAGTGCTGTTAGCGAGCACAAAGACAAAGATGCCCCGTATAGCCTGGACAGACTGTTGGGGCAAGTGCTGTTAGCGAGCACAAAGACAAAGATGCCCCGTATAGCCTTTAACAGACTGTTGGGGCAAGTGCTGTTCGCGAGCACACCCACACGGAGAGATGCATCCACAGTCTACACACGGCACAGGATACACGTGGACTTCTGTAGGGAGGGGTAATAGCGAGAGGCTGGGCTGCTACTGCTGCTGCTGGTGGTGCTGGGTGCGCGTGTGGGTCACTCACGGCGCGCCTGCCTATGGGGGCTGCCGGTTTAAAATAGCATATAAATAAATAAGTGCGACAACATTAAAACAAGGCAGAGAGACGCCGGGCAGGTTCACACACAGCACACGCAAGACAGAGAGACGGGCACCACCACCACAGAGTGAACATCGACGACGAGCGTGGAGAGGGGGGAGATACACGCAGGCTCGGCTGGGGCGGATTAGCGAATGACACGGAGCAGAAGGGGCTCAACATCGTCAACGTCGTCTTCATCATCATCGTCAGACGTCCGTGGCAGGAGCGAAACTTCAGTTTCTTTGCGCGCGTCTGGCGAGCGAGTCGGAGGACTTTAAAGTAGCGCTGTTGTTTAGAGACCGTCGTGGTTTGGGAGTTCGCGATTCATATCGAGAGAGAGAGAGATCAGCTGCGTGGATCACCACCACCATCATCATCACCATCAACATCATCACCACCATCAACATCATCATCACCATCAACATCATCACCACCATCAACATCATCAACACCATCACCACCATCAACATCATCACCACCATCAACATCAACACCACCACCATTACCATCACCACCACCATCACCACCATCACCATCATCACCACCGAGCCACCACCTGGCCGGAGGTGGCCACGCGCGGCCGCTCTCGCTCACGGGGCTCGTCCACGATGAACGATGTGAAAGTCGTCGTGCTCGGCAGCGACAACGTGGGCAAGTCCGGTGAGACAGTCCTCCTCCTCGTACACTCCACACAGACACACAGACACACACACACACAGACACCACACAGACACACACACACCACACACACACAGAGACACACACACTACACACACACACAGACACACACACTCCACACGCACACTACACACAGACACAGACACACACACAGAGACACACACACAGACACACACACCACACACACACAGAGACACACACACTACACACACACACAGACACACACACAGAGACACACACACTACACACACACACAGACACGTACACACAGACACACACAGACACACACAGACACACACAGACACCACACACAGACACACACACAGACACACACACACACCACACACACACACAGAGACACACACACTACACACACACACAGACACACACAGACACACACCACACACACACAGACACACACACAGACACACACACTACACACACACTACACACAGACACACACAGACACACACAGACACCACACACACACAGACACACACACACACCACACACACACAGAGACACACACACTACACACACAGACACACACAGACACACACACACACACACACACACAGACACACACACAGACACACACACACCACACACACACAGAGACACACACACTACACACACACACAGACACACACACACAGAGACACACACACTACACACACACACAGACACGTACACACACACAGACACGTACACACCACACACACACACAGACACACACAGACACACATACACGTACACACACACACAGACACGTACACACCACACACACACAGACACGTACACACCACACAGACACATACACACACAGACACACATACACGTACACACACACACAGACACGTACACACCACACACACACAGACACGTACACACCACACAGACACATACACACCACACACACATACACACATACACACCACACAGACACACACAGACACGTACACACTACACACACAGACACACACACACCACACACACACACCACACACACAGACACACACACACACACACTACACACACACAGACACACACACACAGACACACACACAGACACGTACACACTACACACACAGACACGTACACACTACACACACACAGACACGTACACACCACACACACACAGACACGTACACACACACACAGACACGTACACACACAGAGACGTACACACTACACACACACAGAGACACGTACACACTACACACAGACACGTACACACTACACACACACACCACACACACACCACACACACACAGGCCTACACACTACACACACACAGGCCTACACACTACACACACACAGACGCACACACCACACAGACACACACACAGACACACGTACACACTACACACACACAGACGTACACTACACACACACAGACGTACACACACACACAGACGTACAGACACACACAGACGTACACACACAGACACACGACACACAGACGTACACACACAGACACACACACTACACACAAGCACAACACTACACACACACAAACATACACACACAGAAGTACACACACACAGACACAGACGTACACACACACAGACGTAAACAGACACACTACACAGACACACACACAGACGTACACACTACAGACACACACATACGTACACTCTATACACACGCACAACACTACACACACACAGACGTACACACACACACGGATACCTCCTCCGCGTTCACTCTATAACACAACTCGTCGGCGTGGGGAGGCAAGTGTTGTTAGCGAGCACCTGTTACGACGGCGTGGGCCGATAACGCCCCCACGCCCAGCCGCCTTTGTCTCTCCCCACGGTGCTGATGTTCGCACACGGCAACCAGGTGACATCGTTCACGGCGCACAAAACCGGTTCAGATATTTGCCACCGGTTTCTTTGTCGCTCTGCGAGAGGGAGTCGAACTCGTGTCCGCTGCGCAGTGCGCTAACCGCTGTCCCACCGCTCCATGAAACGCGAACACCACCACACCGCACGCAGATGTGCCCCCCACATTGCATGCGAGAGTTGCGTGTGCCTAGGGCGGGGGTGTTCTTTCTGCGGCGAGGTAAGAAGTTGGAGTGTTGACATGCATTCGAGTCCTGCTCACGGCCACCAGCTCCATCTGGACCGGTGCTGGGCGTCCCCTAGGTTGACTCGGCCTCAAATGAGTATCCTGTTGCGGTGTGTAAACATCGCCGCTCGGGGAGACAAAGGCGGTCGGGTGTGGTGATGGCCACCCACGTTCTCCGTGTGCCGTGGGCCTTCATAGGTGCTGATCGATACCAGCACTTGCCCCTATCGTCTGTGAAGGCCACACGGGGGATCTTTGTCTTTTGCATGGTGGTTGTGATGGGGGTGATGATGTGATGGGAGTGGTTGTATTGTGGTGAAAGATTTGGTGGTGTGATGGATGGGATGCTGGTGCGGATTTGTGATGAGCTGATTATAGTGCCCGGGTTTGTGTAATATGGTGCCGGATAATGGGTTTGATGATGGGTTGTGGAGTGTTGTATGGCGCGTTGGGGTTGTATGATGTGATGCGCTGTTGATGGCTGTTGGTGATGGCTTTGGGTGGTGTAATAATAGGGCTGTGGATGATGCGACTCTATGTTAGTGCGCTCTGATGAAATGCGTGGCTGTGCAGTAATATAGTATGGTGTGGCTGGTGTATGTTGCTGTGTGTGTGTTCGTGTGATGGGGTCACGCGTGGTATGATGAGCTGTCGTTGAGTGTTGTGATGAGGGATTTCGGTGGGCTGGTGTAATGGGGTGCTGGTAAGCTAGGGGGGGGGCAGGTGTTTTATCTACGATGAGTGGTAGCGTGAATGAATAGTGGGTCGTGAATGTAATAATACAGCGGCCGCGTCTCAATGTGTGAATGGTGAAATTGTTCAACATCGTGACGAAGCGTCTGTGTGGCCGTGTAATATGATTGCGGTGCGCAGTGATTTGGGATCTCGTTTGGTGCAATGTTTGCTGATGGGATCGAGTGTTGGGTCGTGGATGTGGTGAGGACCTGCGTGGCTTTGGTGTGATGCAGAACTGTGCAGAGTGGTGGAGGTCACGGGGTGCGCAGTTGCGATGCTGTCGGAGCAGGCTTTTATTAAGATGATGCCGTGGGCATGATGAGACAGGCGAGACGATGAGACAGCCTGAGAGGCGTTTGTTGGCCCCTGGATTTGATCACGGAATCCTCACGCCCGCGTTTACGGAGCTGTTTGCATTCTGCGTGAGATCACACGGTGATTAACACGAAGCCTTCAACGCTGATGGTTGCCAGCTGGTTGGCTGGCGTTGCAGCTTCCTTAGCAATGCGGCTGTGTTTGTCTTTGTGTCTGTATCGCTGTAGCCGCACGCAGGCTCCACAAACTAAAAAAAATTAACCCGTAAAAACAAAGTTTTTCACTATAAATCCTTTATGCGTGACGGCTAGAGTCCTCTCGTCCTCTGGCTTGAGATGGCTGCTACCTATGGGTCAGATGATTGTCTGCCACCATTAAGCAATTGGTAATTAAATATAAAAAAATCCTAAAAAGTGTAAAGTTACGGAAAAAAATTTCACGAAAATAAATTGTCACGCACAACGAGTCTGTGTGCAAAATGTCAGCTCGATTGGATCATGGGAAGTGGGTTAAAAAACGACCGAAATATTTGCACGGTTGTAAGCGCACAAGCAAGGAAGTGAACTTAATATAAAGGATTTAAAAAAGGTTTATGAGTTCAAATAATCTTCGGGCGCGAGTCAAAGCAATAGGAACATCTCTCCTACGGGGTAGGAGAACGATCGTCGCTTCAGGGAAAGTGAAAGCCAAACGGGTTGTTTGAACTGCATTTAAGGGAGTGCCTGGTCCCGTCACATGAATGTGGAATTGACGCCACCGGTTTCGCGACCAACGATAGAACATTAGGGGATATTTATTTACGTGAATACAGGACGGTATACAAATGAGATGAGGTTCATTTTCATAAAAACTCACTGAATTGAATGGCCGCGTTTGTACTTTGGAATCACTCACTGATGCCTCAAGCAATGGCGCCCCCTTCCCTCCCTTGAGATGCTGAAAGTTGGTAATTTACTTGATATTAACCGAATAATATTCACTAAATGTGTTTTGATTATTAGTATGAATGTAAGGGCCCTAATTTTAAAAATACGCTTGCCATGACTGGAGCACCTCTCCCTTGGGAAGTTTCTAGATCCGATGCCTTTCATAATCTCGCTCGTTCTTGTTTTTCCTACAGCCCTCATCGTGAGATATCTTACCAAGCGCTTCATTGGGGAATACGCGTCCAATTCAGGTAAGACGACGGGACGCCCTTTATAAGGAATTCACAATGCTACATGCATCTTGCCTCTACCGTATTTGCTGATGGTGTATGCTTATTGTGTACACGTGCCCGGAGCAGACGTTGGTACTATCTAAGGTAACAAACTTTAGTGGTAGCTATTTATTTACATGACTAATACGAGTGGATTTGCATGATAACCCACTCATTTCAAATGCTTGTCACATAATTCGCTGTTATTAGCCACATAAGGAAATTGGAATCACGAAAGTTACGCCACCTCGGGTAGAACCGACAAGTGAATTGACTGCTCTGGGCTCATGGACTAAGCCGCATGCCGCTGGGAAGTTTCAAGATCTCACAGACCTGAATACTGCTTAGAATCTTAAAACGTACACCGATATTCTTTGGGTCTTTCGGTAAAGTCACGTAGATAGGTTAGAAAAAAATAACTAAAAACTACGACGTTTCGATCGCAACACAAGCGGTCTTCTTGAGGACGACCGCTTGTGTTGCGATCGAAACTTCGTAGTTTTTTGTTATTTTCTTTGAACCTATCTACGTGACTTTACCTAAAGACCCAAAGAATATGAATTCCTGCAGTCACAAAATCTGTAAGTCACGCACTCGGATAGCAAGCATATACACCCAATCAAATAAATTTGATCGTAAGGAAAGGAATTCATTCTAGATTTGAAGTTTTCGTGACTGCAATGATCCATATTCTTTGGTTCTTTCGGTAAAGTCACTTAGGTGAAAAAATTAAACAAAGGAATTGTTTCTGGCTTTGCTACACATTGCAAAGCACGTAGAGGAGTAAGTAGTGTATTTTGACCTACAAGAGGATAAACGCCAACGGGACAGGTGTTAGCTAAAAGGTGGGCACAGCCCTGTGTATCAATATTCACTCTTGTTCTGTATTAGCAGAGTGACACGCGGTTTGCTTTGGGCAATACACCCAGGACCCTAGAGCGTGCTCTGCTTGCTGCGTTAGTCGAGAACAGATCAAGATTTGCCGCTCCACAGCGATGGAGGAACACTGCACTTCAAGTTTGTAAAATATGATGAGTCTTTTTTTTCCCCGTCTGTAATTGTCAGCTACAGATATTTGTGAGTGCAGTGTTGGCGTTGTGTGGTCTCAGAGGAAACATTGGCAGACGAAAGGTCATATAGACTTAAAGGGCAAATTATTTGGTTGGTTCACTTTCGGCCTTCAGAAGAGCTGAGTTGTTTGAGAGTGCATTAGTTAACTGACTGCAAGGGCTGCATTACATCAAAGCCCTTTGTACATAAAGTATATCGATTTTAAGTCTATCTGACGACTACATTTCTTATACATTAACTTCTTAGTTTCAGTTATAACTTATTTTTTTCCTCGCTTGGGGGGCCATGCGTCTTGCTAGTTTATTGCTATATATAACTCACTGTGTTTTCACATGATGTGTGTATTGTGCTTTATAAACGCACGTGGGGGTGGTGGTGACGATATTGAATGGGGGTCTTTTAAATTCCCCTCGATCCCATGGACAGGAGCCAGCGTCTGGTTAAAGTCAACTGTGCGTGCACGTGTGTACATATAGGTCGACCCAGCCTCAAACGAGTACCTGGTGCGGTGTGTTAAACATCGCCACTATGGAGACAAAGGCGGCCGGGCGTGGTGTTGGTCACCCACCCCCCTCGTGCACCGTGCCGGCCTTTATAGGAGAGCTTGCTGGCAGCACTTGCCCCAACAGTCTGCCGAGGCTATATGGGATATATTTGTCTTTGTGCATATGTGCCCAGTGACCTCCCAGTGTATAAACCCGCAATGCATTTGACCGAGGAAAGCCCAACTTTAAATGTACCACCGTACAATGAGTACTTGTGGCACAATCTGCACCTGGGGAATTCTGGCAGTCCGTTTCCTCCTGAAATCCCGTAGCCGGCTAAAAGTCTAATTGGGGTGTGTGGGTGGGCTATTGTTTGCCGAGCGGAGTGGGGTTCTCTCCCCCCTCCCGCCTCCAAGCTCCTTCCAACAATTCAGGCTCAAAAAACAATGGGCTCGATTTCCAAGACATCTTCCAGTAATCGTCTCCAATAGTGATCGTCACCCGCGTGTGATTGGAGATGCTCACCGCCGTTTCGTCATCGTTATTCACATCCAGCGGCTGCTCTGGATTCATACTCTGGCGCGCTGTCGACCCGTTCACGTGGTGACACTCTGTGTGTGTGGGGGGGCATTATGTAGCCTCGTTATACCGATGCATGTACGTGTGAAAATATACAGCACGTACACTCATTTATTACGCGCAGCAGTTACTATGTCATGTTTTCCACTTGCACGTGTACTGCTGGATCTAATCCACTGCTGGATGAGAGCCTCCCCATACTGAACAGGCTGTCAGGAATATTTGACCATACTTCACCACTCTGGTCAGTGTGGGTTGGTGAAAGTGGGGGGAGGGGGAGGAGGAGGGGGCTAAGAAAACAATAGATTTTGTACACTGCCCTCTGCTGCCCATAATGTCTATAACGCCACCCGTCATTCGACCATGGTGGGTCGTCCATCCAAGCACTGCCCAGGCTCGTGGTTTTTTAAATCCTTTATATTAAGTTCGCTTGCGTGCTTGCCTGCGTGCGTGCTTGCTTGCTTGCTTGCGACCGTGCAAATATTTCGGTCGTTTTTTAACCCACTTCCCGTGATCCAATCGAGTTGACATTTTGCACACAGACTCGTTGTGCGAGACAATTAATGTTCGTGAAATTTTTTCCCAAAATTTTACACTGTTTAGGGAAAACAAATTAAATATTTAATTACCAATTGCTTAATACTGGCAGACAATCATCTGACCCATAGGTGGCAGCCATCTCAAGCCAGAGGACGAGAGGACTCTAGCCGCCACGCATATAAAGGATTTAGAGTGAAAAACTTTGTTTTTACGGGTTATACTTGTTTTGGACCTGTGTTGCATACTCGGAATGAAGGACGTGGGCAGGTGCTCCAAATCGAGGGCAAGCACATGTATTTATTGTGGTTAATAGCAATCTTGTGAAGAACAGCACCGTCACTCTGTAAAATGCAACAGCACGTGTTACACGCAGCAATTCTTCCGAGTCGCCATTAGCCCATGTGGCTGGTTTACACGTGCGCTTAAGTCTTGATGAAATCCGGCGATGTTTCAACTGCGTTTTATACAAGGTGGCCGTATGTCCCACGCATCTGCGTGCAAGCCACTGGACCAGTTTGTACAGCCTCCTGTTCAAATTCCTGCTGCCTCCTGCCCAGTAATTTCTGCCGAGTCGTGTGAAGTGGTCCTTGAAAATGGTGCACAATTGTAGGCCAGTCGGTAAAGTCACGTAGATAGGTTCAAAAGAAATAACAAACCTATCTACGTGATTTTACCGAAAGACCCAAGAATATGCATTCCTGCAGTCACGAAAGCTTTAAGTCAAGATTTAATTGCAGGCCACTGTGCTCGTATAATAGCCACAAATAATTATAATACTTCTAGCCCATAAAGAAACAAACAAAAATGTGCATCCCTATATAGCCTCTGACCAAATCACCAGGTATGTGCCGGGTCTGGTCAGATATTGGAAGCTAAGCTGGGTTGAACCTAGAGAGTGCTTCAGTGGGTGACTGCCATGCGTAACAGGTGCTATAGGCTGCGGGGCTACATGGTTGACAGCAGACCCACAGTTGTACTGTACTTCTGTGCTTCCACATTGGTTCTCTGCACCTTGAACATTAATCACCAGTCAACACTGATACAACGTGGCAAAGAATGCTCAAATAATGGATGGAAGTCTTCATCTAGCGATTGATTGACACAACCGGTGTACCTGTACACATGTACATAAAGCTTTATACCAGAGGCAGATATATATAAAAAAAGACTTCCATAATCACAGACACTGAATTTATATAATACTGTATTGTGTGCATATACACACACACATTGCCCAATTAATTCATTGTAATCTATATCAATCATTGCCCCCCAACTGGAAAAAAAAACAAGCAAAGCGTCTCTATGTGTACACGCGGCCGTGAAAATGTAAACACAAACTGAGCTTGCACTGTGTGCCAATTTGATCATTTATGTTGCTGCAATGATTTCACACGAATGTCAACACACCCCCACGTTACGAGCGGCACACCGGCGCACTGGACCGACACAATAAATAAAATTCCCTCGCACATACAAACAAAGACAAAGACCCCCGTATAGCCTTCGCAGACTGTTGGGGCAAGTGCTGTGAGGGAGCACCTATGAAGCCTGGCACGGCACACGAAGGGGTGGGCAGCCAACACCACGCGCGGCCGCCTTTGTCTCCCCCGTGGCGATGTTTACACACCGCACCAGCTACTCATTTGAGGCCGAGTCGACCTAGGAGATAATCGTAACTGGTGTTAAGCACAGCGGCGCTAACCTTTGCGCCACCGCTCCCCGCATGCGTGCACACTCCCACACGCAGCCTACAAAGCCCCGTGGTGTGCTCTTTCCACGTGACCAGTTGGGCTCAGAGGTCGCAACCGGGTACCCGATACCCGTACCCTACCCGATACCCGGCTACCCGTACCCGGCCGGGTATGGGTACCCGTTTGCGACCCTGGTGCGGCCGGGTACGGGTAGACCGTGAGTCACTGGTGAGTAACTGTTTGTCACTCATTTCCCAACGTCCTGTCTCTTCTCACAATTCAAGTTCCTAGAATCAACCCACCCGCGCCTGCAACATGGCTTCATCCCAGAGGTCGCAATCAGGTACCCGATACCCGTACCCTACCCGTACCCGGCCGGGTACAGGTACGGCCGGGTACGGGTACCCGTTTGCGACCCTGGTGCGGCCGGGTACGGGTACGGGTAAGGAATCAAAACCCGTTTGCGACCTCTGGTTGGGCTGCACCGGTGTTGTCCAGCACCTGCTCGACTCTCCCGGTAGACATGTCGGTGAAGCTGCCCATATGCAGTCCAAGTTCAGAGCAGAACCCGATAGATATTTTTGTTTTCAGGAGATAAAGAAATGTAAAA